TGCTACATTTTTTATTTCAGTAACTATGACAGAATAGTTGTGGCAAAAACGACGGATACGTGAGCAGTTGATCGATAGAATACTGCTCAGGTAGTATTCGAAAAACAATCCAGGTAATCTCGAATCAGTTTTTCAAATCGTACAGGACGAGAAAGATAGTCTTAACTGAGTCAAAATCAGTACAGGTATTCACAAGAAAGCATTTATTGCAATCGGGTCCTTATCTTCGACCCACTCAATTTTAAATATGTGGCCTGCAGATTGGCCTAAATTCTTATTTGTGTATCACCTCGCTACTATACAACTTTCAAGTTGAACTAATCCAGTGGGGCGCGTGATTAATGGAGAGGGTAAAATTAATTGTTTCAATTCGGGGTAAATTATTATGTCCACATGCACACCAGGCTTCGCATTCGTTGGAGAGGTTCTGGGAAGATTTAAGGGGGGTTTAGACTGTCGAGCTGCAGCGAGAAGATCGGGGCGAGTAATGCAACGATGGAGGACATACGGGCGCTAATTCACGACGATGGCTGCAGAACGCTACCACTATTGAGTGAGAGTTAAAAATCGAGTGCCATTGTGTGAAATAAAGCTAGCCCACATTAGCAGTGGTATTTTAAACTGAGTCAGTATGAGTACTTTTGAACATGGTGCCAGTGCCAAGAAGGGCGAGGTTGTCATTTGCAATTCTGTTTTAAGTCTCGCAGATTTGGTCAGTACCGAAATCTGGAAATAGTTATTCAGCAAAGTGATGAGACGGGGTAAGAGGAACGTCAATCTATTGACCAGTGCTGGATGGGGGTAAATTGGTGCCCGATGTTCATAGAGATAGAATCTTTCGAGATGCTTGGAAGAGTCCATATACTGTGGTAGTCATGCCGATTTTGTAGCTGTTGTAGTAATTCCGGTTCAATTGGCGATAGGAATAGGCCACATTAAAATACTGATACAAGCAAAGTGACTCGATGTAAAAGTCTTATCTACGGGGCACACTGGACAGAGACATACGCCAGTCCGATAGTCAAGCAATTTGAATTGGTACGTGCTTGTTGCTATCATGGTACAAAGGCGGATTGGTGTGTATTCAAGGCTATAGGTAAAGCATTTATGGGAGGGCTTGTCTCGGTTCGTGATAGGAAGCTCTACCCTTACGAGTCGATGGTAGCATTGGCGGCGATCCTTCCCTGCTATATCCTTAGTTGTGAGACTTGGGTATTATGTCGGATCTGCTTGCGGAGCTTACATAATTCTTTGTGTTGAGGTATACACCCGCCCCTCGATCCTAAATAAACGTAAATACTGAACTAGAATTCGTGCGGTCTGCTACGTGTCCAAAGCGGGTCTCGTAAGTGGGAGGAGTGGGTTTATACTGTTGATCGAGTCAATGTGTAGGCCAAGGCGGCCATGATGGAAATAAACCGTAGAAGAGAATAAGCCATTGCGCTGGTATAGAAGTTTCGGGAATGCAGTGCTTGTTATGATGGCTGCTGCTTAGATATATACTGAGTTGTACCATTCGTACAGCAGCTGCAACGCGGAATGCCTTATAGGTGGAGCCCATGCAATGATGTTCAGATCATAGGTGGCCGTTGAAAGATTGAATGTCTAGAGTATTTCCAACCAATTTCGCAGATGGCGTCAGCTGAATCCATGAAACCCATACGCCCGGAAGGATACTATGGCCTGAGTAATGCTGCCACGAAATGGTCCATGTGGTTTACAAGTCGATGCCAGGGATGCTCTGGGATGATCGAAATCCTAAGTATTTGGAGGGTTGTGGATGAAAATCGGAGAGTTGGAAGGGATAAGTAGGCGTCTGTTGAGAGTGTTCGTATTTGGAGAGCCTACTAACGTTAGCGTGATGAGATGTCTTTTGATACGGAGAGGCGGTACCGCATGCAACATACTCGATGACCTCTTTCGGGATTTAAGAATTCTTTGTTCTAGACTGGACAGGCGACCTCAATTATTAACAGCGTTCAGGAAGGCTTGCATCCGTGCAGCCGAACAAGCTATAAAGATGGAAAAGGAAAAGTTTCGACCGAAATCGCGCTAGCGTAATAGCCAGGGTGTCCATATAGATGACAAAAAAAAGCTGTAGACCGACAATCAAACCTTGGAGTATGCCAATCGTTCTATGGTATAAAGGTGAAAGCCTTTCACGATACGTCACCCGTGTAAGGACATTCTCGAATAATGCACGGAGACGAATTGCAGTGTGGCGCAATAGCATCCACACTGCGCGGAAGGACCACTTTATTGTATGTTTTAGTGATGTCAAGACACACATCTTTCCAGGCATTCTCGGATTATGTCTCACCTTCCATCGCGGCGAGGTGGTATGATTTGAGTTCAGCTTGAGCGGCATGGGTGGGGGAGCCAGGGTGATTTGTTATCAGCTGTAGAAGCACTTCTCAAAATTACGTCAAACAATCTGCTTTAAAGTTGTGTCTTCTTTCTTCGGATGGACTGTCAAGAGGGTACAGTTGAGAGCTTTAGGGAATGTACCAGCCATTAAGTGGGTGGAGAAGGCCTCAGCCAAGATTTTAAAAATCAACTGCCAGGGCCAGGATGTCACATAGTCGGGGGGTAAGTTGATCGTTCTACAGCGGCCTTGAAGAGAAGGTTTAGTCGGGGTCACTTGAAGATCTAGTTCAAATTTGTGGTTCTCGTAGATACCGTGATCCGCTAGGAAGTATGTATGAAAAGAGGCTGGGGTTGTTGGCCGGTGATATGCGTGCTCTGTACCGGTGGAGGCTCCCGTATGGAGGTATTGTAGACGCCAGTCACCGAGAGCAGTGGCCTCTACCGTCTTTATGCGGGGTCCATGGATCGTGGATGCGTGCCCATACTCTAGCTTTGAAATTGAAATCGCCCTAAACGACATCTGGTTGAAAAGTGCCGATCTCAGGAGGATTCATGTGGTGTTTAACTTTTTGTTCTGGCCCTGTTAGTGAGTCAAGCGAGAGATAGAATATAACCATTCGAACACCAAAGTAGGAGAAGAAAACTGCATATGGGGATGAATGGATGAGTTGGAACTTCGATGGGTGATGCTTGAAGAATAGTCCAATACCACAGTGTGCAGGATGTAAGAAGTTGTGTCGTGTAGCATGATGGATATGATGTTTCGTGGAAGTACATACATGTTTTAGGAAAGTCGCATTATGCCAGGTTTCAACCACACGAATAACATTAACCTGATCTAAAATCGATATAAAGTTCAACCACATATCTGATTTCGTCAGATTTTTTCATGCTGAAATTTCGTGGGTTAAGAAGCGTCATCCACATAGGTGCTAACTTTGTTCGTCCTCTGACAAGCTAACAAAGGTTTCTGCATTGTTGATTTCCATGTCGTCATCTGCATTACTTGCCTCCAGCTGATATGCCTTCTCCAAGAGTAGAGAAACCGCTGATTGGGTAGTTGAATTGCGTATGAAGTCCTGGGTTGTGGCTTTGCCACGCTTAGATTGAAATGTCCTCTCAATGGGCTCGGTTGTAGATTTGAAATTCTCGATATCAACTGATTTGTCAAAGTTTTAGTAGGAAATCAAGACTGTTGCCAAGCCTGCACCACATCGGGGCTCGCGCTCGGTTCGAAAATAATGTATGATTGTTGCTTTGGTCGAATCTGGGTGTTTGTTGGAGCAGGGATCGATATTCTCGGGCCAATTCGTTTCAATTTGACTTCGACCTCAGTAGAAATACATTCCATAGTATCGCGTAAAGCGATAATATCGCTGTCTTGGAGCCGAACCTCTTTTATAAGGTGCAGGCATACGGGACTTTCAAACACAAAGGATCTGCAGGGGACGTACACATACTCGACGGGCCTTGAAGCTTGCCTCACAGTTTACCACAGAGATCTGGTGTTTTATACCCCATCATTATCTCAGTATATAATGCGAAATATCAGAGCAAGGGTTACCTACATCCAGTAGAGTAGAGGAATCTAGAACACCAGAGTATCCTTGATCGAAAAATTGAAAGTGTCTCATAATAGTATTTTGGACAGGGAATGGCACGCAAGTAACTCAGCCAAACGGCCAGTGAACTGGACAATTCCTTTCTCTAAGACATACAGTTTCCTATTCTTATTGACTCAGAGGCCGATGAACTTTGTGACAATTTTTAATTGGTCTTGAGGTTGATATCGTTTACTGCGTTCTTTATATTGTATAGCACAAACGCGTGAGGATTCAATGCGTTTCTCACTCCGATACCGAAGAATATGTAAATCGTGACAACTAATTATGTAATCGTGAATACATCTGAAAACTTTCATTCATAGCCTAAACGTGTGAAGCTTCATTACGATTTTCACGTCGAGACAGATTCAAATACCATGCATATTTTTTTTCCGATACAGCAGACGTGAAGTACAAATGTACAATCCTTCTCCAAATCCGATCATGTAATTGTAGTAGCAGAATATGCGGATCGAGATATCTAATTATGTAACCACGAATACATCAGAAAACCTTCATTTATAGCCCAAAAGCGTGAACAATCAATACGATTCTCAGATCGAGAGTGATTTAAATATATATATCCTTTCTTTCCCGATACTGCAGATGGAAATATCGGGAGGTACAAATAAACAAACCTATTGCGTCTGTTTAAAATCTGATCATGTCATGAGTAAATCAGCCAATCGGCCAGTGAACTGGACAATTTCCATCTTTAAGATATTCGGCTTTTCCTATTCTTACTGAGGAAAGCTAACCTCGGAGGCACATTGTCTTGGCGTTGGTGATATAGAGAACATATGGATTTTATTTGTGACCTATTCTGTGTAGTTCAGTACCATGTATGTTGCAAGATTGGCAACGGACACGGACTACACAAGTATCAACAATTATTGCAAAATCAGCACATAGTTTTAAGGATTCTGGCTAAATTTACGCTTCACCAACCGAGGATGCGCATGTGCAATGTGCCAGCCGACGCAAATTGATTGCGGTCTGGTGGTCACAACTGACATTAAATAAAGTGCACTCTGAGCTCATAGAAGTGCTCCATTGTTTTACTTCCATTTAAGAAATCCTGAATCTAACTCGGAAGTTATTCAAGCCGATGCGCGATGTTGACATTGGTTTCCGCTCGTTTCGCTAGGCCACACATATAAAGGCCAATTGGGGCAAATTGTTCAATTGAAATTAAGGGTTGTATCACTGCGAAGATCCCCAATTTATATTGCATAAGGGTAGCTCAGAGTTGCCTCTGCTTGACTACCGAAACACCTCTGCGTCCGATATGATACTTTTTCCCTCTGCAACAGATGAGTTGAAAATTAGAAATGAAATTTCTCTAGAAGAAGACCAGACTGTAATGGGTTCGTAGTTCAAGCATAATAAACACTAGACCATGAAATGGTGCCATGACATTGCACCGAGATTCGTTAGTGCTTGAAATTGTCCCCACTAATCAATTTCAAATACAATGACATCTTCCCACGTGATATACTCGTCAGACGTACACAGCCGTCACAGAAATCAGTTTTAATATGTAGTTTTTGATTGACATATGCTCAATAGCCAACATCTATCAGCACGCGGACGTTGCTTGCGTGTTCGAGGCTCATCAGTTTTTGTACATGAACTACAATGCAGGTATCAGATTGGATTTGCACACATCCACGCAAGCACATAAACTGGATATGGACTGAAAGCTGAGGCCAAAATAAGTCACACTTTCTTGATCTTGATAACTTAATCACATACGTAGCAAATGCTCAACACGTATATTTGGCTACAGCACATGTATTGTTATGTTTACATACCAAAATCCACCAGAGCCAGTGAAGCCGCCTTACTGGGATCCTTGTCTCTAATTTGATTTATCATGCTAATTATATAGTTCCGCCTATCATTATAGTCGTCGCCGTCTAATTTCTTGGCCAAGTCTTCAACGAATGTATCTTTGACAGCATGTGCCATTTTACCTGAGGACGACAGGTAACAATATGAATAAGGGTGTGCCTCACTTGTGTTGCATGTTTCGCAATTCTTCTACCATGTGAAATAATATGTGAACTAGTCCGTGTCATGTGTCGTATCTCAAAAACAAGCACATTAAAATATGTCAATAATCATATCACCTACATACCTGCAAGGTACTGGCAGTACAGGCCTTTAAACACGTGTATGTGTTGCGGGGCAGTTTCCGCAACTAATACCCCTTGAGTAATCGAGTGAATGGGATTCAGGTACTTCTCTGTATTGTCGATCAAGTAGTACCACAGAGACGGTGTAGTCTCAGACAAATTCGCGGCCATTCGCTCTCGCTTTGTCGGTTCGAGGCGAAAAATGTAGACTTTTAGTCGTTAGTGATTAAGCTTATAGTTATGAGATGTACGTATGCAATTACTGAAGTGCAAAAGTATTTCCAGTGTTGGGCATGATGTGGTCTTTCTAGTGGAACAACCACAAATAAAAACTAAATTCAATATTAGAAATAAGATTAGACTCCATTCGCAATAGTCTTGCTACGCTTAGATATCGCGTGCGCTGCAACAAACACCTTGCAACAAACACCTTGAGCACCTAATCGCTCCCAATTTGTCATGTGATTGATCTAAAAGATATAACGACAACATACACGAAATCTGAATCGACAGGGGCGCCGGTGAAACAGCCGACAAGAACACATTCTCCCAAACAGTACTTTATGGTGGATATCCAATAGACTATGAGGCCATCAGACACAAGGAGTATCGTGCATATAGCTGCAATAGTACAAGTGAACACACCTCGCAATTACCCAAGAACGTTCCAAAGCGGCAAGCGTGCAATTCCTCGTTCAGATCGATCAGCATTTTCCAATTGAACTCAAACGCGCACGGAAATTGCGTTTGTAGTTGCCAAACGCAATCCAAAAATTGTGTGAATACGGGAGAATACTCTTTCTTATCCAATGCCCAGAAACCATTTCGATGTTGGAACTTGTGGCCAAACTGTATCCACTCCTTACTGATTAGACTTATAAAACCTGTTGTGGGTCAACAGCAAAAGTTATATAATTGTCTGAGTGAAAATTAATGATGTGATCGATACTAAGGTACAAGTCTCCAAGATATCGCTATAGGCGCAGAGAAAAGCCCAATGCAGAAAAAAGAGAAAAACTATGTATCGATATTCAGCCATTGTCTACATGCGCCAGAGAGTTCCTGATCAGACTCAAGTGAATCTCGAGACGGGCGCCAGGAACAAACGCATTCGCACGATAGCATGCGCTCAGCTATATTAGACAGAAGCAACATTATTACAAGATTGTGAATTCAGGTAGGCATTTCAAGTACACACCTTTTATGGTACGGTAATAAGGATCTAAACACAGCTGAGTGAGGGAGGAGAGCTGAGCAGTCCTATCCCATCCGTCACTACAATGCAACACTACGCTCGCGCCTTCAACTGCCATTGCCCTGTGTTGTGATATAATAAATTTGGGTCTCATATTCAATAATTTAAAAACGGATACTAGTCAAAAATAAATAAAAGAGCAAAGGGAACTGGTGAAGACTAATGATTATTTTCCAATAACAATATTGCTGATACGGCACAGCTCCAAGTACAAAGAGGATACTATATTACCTGGTCGAAGGACAATAGGGCAAGTCATGGTCGCAGTTAAAGTCAATTGATTATTTTTCACAGAAACGCGTTCACAACAATACGTACCAGGCATATAGCAGTACATGCAAAATGTAAATGTACGCCGCCACACGTATGTCAACTTCTGAAATTGCCGTAGGGGTTTAAATAATCTATAAGAGTAAATTATGCACACAGACAAACATGAACCTGAACAAATATTTTCAATATCATATATTTGTCATACTTCCCGTAACAGTACACTTGAATACACAGGCAACCAACTCGCTTACACCGACTCACCTAGCCATCAGATTCGATGCTTCCAGAATAGTCCTGATGTGGTGCAGCCAACCGGACCCATATACGTTACTAAGCCATTGATTCGCCGTTGAATTGTGTACGTGGCAGGCTGTGCATTACAGAGGCGATATGGTGCGAGCCAAAGTAGGCATATATATGCATCAGAATACTTCATCTATAGCAGTGTACAAAAGCGGAAAACTGTGCGTACGTATGCATCATTTGCGAGAAAGAGTTCCAGCAAATATCAACCGGTATACACCACAGTCGCATCGCATTGGGCGAACAACTAGAGAACTGGAATGCAAGAGACATTGATCGAGAATAAACAATATGGTAAGTATATTCGTTTGATAGGAACCCCCCAAAACAACCCAATCTATGATTGTTTAGATTTTTTGCAATCGCTGTCATGAAGCTCGCATCCCAGAAATCGATACGTCCGCTCTTTCCGCTGTACAGCGACAACAAAACGATATGGGACCAGAAAAGGAGCAAAATATCGACGAAAATCCACTCCAGATACACATACCATCTACCAGCTTATTAAGTGATTCTCTAATGACATGGATGTTCTCTATGTTCATGCATAGGTATTTGCAGTTGAGGTAGAATGCCGTGCTCTCGTATCCTGCCCCGTTCGCTCTGCGCTCGTATGATATATGCGAAATTAATAGGTACAATCGACTAGTACAATTAATTAGTGCAATTAATTAGTCCAACTATTTTGTAGCGCGCTCTCAAATATGCAGCGGAAAAGTAGGATCACCCAAGCCATGCGGATGAATAAGACACTCAGGTGACCAAGAAATCTGAGCTGAAATGCTTGGCGCTTATTTCAACACCTCTCGAGGCATATGTATAGCATCGTAGTATAGATTAGATATATATTGATCGTGTTGAAACATGTGCAAAGCAAAGAGCAATTCGAGGTGTTGGCGAACGCACACCTTTGAGCCATGGCATTGACCTTCGGGCGGGCGTCGATGATGTAGTGTTTGTTCACTTTGTTGGGATTCGCCGAGAATATAAGTTGTACCATTGCCTCGTCCGCAACGCTACGTTTTGATTGGATGCCCACTTTCGGTTGACTACAGCGAGTGAGCGATGACTGAGGAAGAGCGCAAATGGGGTCAGCGTGAAACACAACATAAGTCACAGCTACATTGTAGCGAACCATCTGACTGACATTGACCTGGCTGAAGCGACTGAACTGGATGCTTCAAAAATGACAACAACACTAAAATAAATGTCATTTTTTCTGCTGCATGGTCCGTAAAGTGGAGAAATATACCGATCGATACAACCTATACACACACCCAGACACAGACACAGGCACAGACACAGGCACAGGCACAGACACAGGCACATACATAGACACGCAGACACAGACACAGACAGAAACATAGACACAAATACAGACACAGACACAGGCGCGCACACACACACACACACACACACACACACATATATATACATACATACATGAAAATATATGATACACCTACACGCACAAACACATAAACCATATACATCTCATAGAAACACACACCCTCCGGACATACTATTTGTGTCACTATAAGTGACTGTACACACCAACTCAAGGTCAACTTGAGATAATTTGCATATTTAACAGTCATGCATACTTCGTTTTTGTAGATGTAGCTCAGGATGGGTAGTCGCTGCCTGCTCCGGAAAGCGGCACACTGTGACGAGGAATGAGAAATAGTCAACACCAATAACAAGCTGTCGCTTACGGATCATGAAGGTCCAACACTCTTAGACTGTGTTCAATACTGCCATAATGACTATATATGCAGATCCATTCACGCTCACGCCCGGAGGCTTCAATATGTTATAGCATTCTGGAAACGTTCCCATCCAGATATAAATAAAACGGTGCTCGCCAGTCAAGAAATACCATGGACAGCTGTACACGAACACGCCCACTGACCTCCAGCGAGTAGATAAAGGTATACACATACCTCTGTCAGCATCTCATCTGAACAGGTGGCCGGTACATACAGTTCACGAGGGTACGTTGAGCAAAGCCCAAACCTTCTATTGAGTGAAGTCACTCGCCATTTGCTGTTCGGTACACCCATGCGCTCGTATTCGGTAAGCGTATTGTAGAATTCCCAGCTCAGACTTTGCGCTAAATAGGTACACACCAGTGAGTATGTACATAAGTGATCTGAGATATGGGTTACACACACTTGCGTTGTATTGGTAACAAGTATACATCTAGTAAATTATGTCTGCAATGAAAGACGATGGTTTTTTGTGTGTTAAGCTCATCGGAAAATACCAACACTTGCGTCGCGGTACACTCGTACGTATGATATGTAACTGGAAAATCTCCGAAGCCAAGTCCGCACGATTGACACACATCACACCCATATGCTTCGCCATGAAGGGGTTTGATGATGTTGAAGATTACGAGACTACATGCACCGCTGAAAAGTGCTAAACAGCCGCACCTGCGAAGTATGTGCTAACTGAACCATGTGCATCGATCAAGGAGGGCCGTAACAACATCAATTCGGGATATGTTTACAACAAGCCATAGAGAGTATACGCGAAAATACAGTGCAAATTGATTCTCTGGTTATTGGTACGGGGTCAAGCTCGCAGTATGACTCCAATGCGTTATAAATATCGATACGAAAAAAAGTACACTGCTTGTCAAAACTCGAACTACCTACTAATATCCAAAGTAAGTACTAACAGCGCGTGTACGGATACGCACTTTACAGGTGCACGGCATGAGTAGGATACTCCAGAGCTACACGTAGCGTAGCATACAAGCGACAAGCTGCTCAGTGAAGACGCGAACCAAATACGGGTAGAAACAGGATGGGACAATACTAACGTATGGGATCATATATGTATGCAGATACGTAGTAGACGGTGAGCATACAGTAAGCTTGCAGCTGCCTTACATTTGACACCAGGACTGTATTTATATTCAAAGGCGTGAAGCTCATCCATACGACCTGTATAGAAATAAAGTAGTTCGAGAAGAGTTATATATAGACGTGGCGTTGCTGATCAAAAAGACACTCAGAGAGTGCGTGGCTACTCAAAATGCCATTGAATAAGGAAAACGTCGCATTGTAGAGCTAACACATATTGACGCATACACTGTCAGCGTCTATTCGCCTAAACGTTGCGTGTGTACGGGACAGTCTTGCACGAAATGGATCGTACGTTCGTACTGTCGACATGACCTCGACTGACAATATTATCAAATACAGAATAACAATTATAACCCTCGGCTTCACTCCAAGAAAATGGGGACACCTAATTTCCCCCCTATATTATATTGTAGGTGACATTCCCAGTCGTGCACGGCACCGCCGTACAAAACCACCTGTGCACCATGCTTCGTGCAGTTCAGATAGCGACACGAACCTTCTGACAAATCAGCTAAAGCTACTGGCCAATACGCCTTTGAACAGAGTGAAAGATCGCTGCTAAGCTTGCGAGTTTGTGAGAGAACCCAACACTAAACTAGACGGCTGCTTCGCCAATTCTGAGTCAAACGCTACTCGCATAGCCACGTGCACCACAAAACATGGGAATCCACCTTCGCTTACTTTTGAATCCCAAGTCCATCAGGGCGTCATACATGTCGTTGCATTCCTTCTCACTAGGTATCAGCAGGGTTATCAGACGGTACGTCTTGGTACGCAACACGATGAGAGTTCCTTTGGGAGTTGGGCTTTTACGCTCGATAGACCACAACGTCTGTAGTAGAAGCTGTCCAGGTGTCATAGATTGCGAGAGGATCAGTGAGATTAGACGGTTGCGTGACTTGATGACTGGTGGGCAAGATGGTGTCATTCAGTCTCAACCGAAGATTAGGAAAAATAATAATAACTATCTATGCGAAAGAGACGACTACGAAGTGCAGCCAGCATACCCATATTTCCTTCTGCCTATCGGCCGATGCAAACACTAGATGTCGTGCGGTGACGTGGATGGATCCAGTGTGACGTGTCGGCGAGGCGCTGATGTACAGATAAGCCTTCTCGATCTGCGTAAAGAAAAAGCAGTTGGATTTTCAGTATGATGCGATTCAAAGGCCATTGCTGCCCAGCAGATCTGAAGAAATACATAGAAAATCTATATGGGGTTTGGGGTAGTATATATATATATATATATATTTATATATACATATACATATACACATATACATACATACATACATGCATACATACATA